CTGTGTTCAGGACATCTTCAACGCCTTCATCAAGCAGAACCCGGTGCTGGTCCACCAGCTGCCCTGCTTCTGGAACGTCCAGCTGTCTGATCACACTCGCTCCGAGCAGTGTTACACCGAGGTGTCCGACCTCAAGGTACCACACACACACACACACACACACATCTGAAGCGGTTGCGAGTACATTTGTAAAAGTAACTGAAGTAAATGTCCTCAGTGTCCTGTGTGTCCTCTGCTCTCAGGTGATCCACTGGAACTCTCCGAAGAAGCTCCGCGTGAAGAACAAACACGTGGAGTTTTTCAGGAACCTTTATCTGACCTTCCTGGAGTACGACGGAAACCTGCTGAGGCGAGAGCTGTTCGGCTGCCCGAGTCAGGCCGGTCCGCAGAGCGTCCAGGTTAGTAGTTACAGAGAGGCCGGTTGACACTGAGCTGCTCTAATGCTGAACTCAGGCTGTAACATTACAGGAAGTCCCTTCGCCTTGTCACTGCACAACGGGAGTGTGGTTGCTATGGTAACGCAATGCTTGGCGTTGTCAGATCCCGACGACAATCCAAATATAATGTAATTGGTTTAAACGGCTGACGGAGATTTGTCCAAAGAAGAAGAAAGAGACAGTTCAGTTCACTTCAGATTGACTTGGAAAGTGGTTCATCAGAGCTCTGAGCTTCTTCCTGTCTCCTCAGCTGCAGACGGCTCTGGAGGAGCTGGACGAGGACGATCAGTGCTACGACTTCCGGCGAGAGCGTCTCACCGTTCACCGCGTGCACCTCTACTTCCTGCAGTACGAGTACACGCCTGCGGAGGACGACACTGACATCACGCTGGTGGCTCAGCTCTCCATGGACAGGTAACCCGACCACACGTCACCTGTTTCAAACGTTAAGCCCCTTAAATTCTTATTTCCTCAGCACTAAATGCAAATGTAACCTGTGTGCGCCCCCTGCAGGCTGCAGATGCTGGAGGCCATCTGTAAACACTGGGAAGGTCCCATCAGCCTGGCGCTCTACATGTCCGACGCTGAAGCTCAGCAGTTCCTGCGCTACGCTCAGGCCTCCGAGGTCCTCAAGAACCGCAAAAATGTCGGCTACCACATCGTCTACAAGGAGGGACAGTTCTACCCGGTCAACCTGGTGAGGAACGTGGCGCTGAAGAACGCCAACACGCCGTACGTGTTCCTGACTGACGTGGACTTCCTGCCGATGTACGGTCTCTACGATTACCTCAGGTAAGAGCAGCAGCTGCACTGTTTCTGCTCGCACTTTATAGACGTGCGTTTTATACAAACCCTGCTCATCGCTCTCGTCTGTTTGCCCCGTACAGGAAGTCCGTGGTGCAGCTGGACATGGCTCACACTAAGAAGGCTCTGGTCGTTCCTGCGTTCGAGACTCTTCGTTACCGTTTGTCCTTCCCTAAATCCAAAGCTGAGCTGCTCTCCATGCTGGACATGGGGACTCTCTACACCTTCAGGTGCCTGCACCAGGGGATTGTGGGAATAATGTGCCAGACACCGATGATGTGATCGTCATTTAACCTTCACCGCTCCTCCCTCTCCAGGTATCACGTGTGGCCCAAAGGTCACGCTCCTACCAACTATGCCAAATGGCGAACAGCCACCACCCCTTACAAGGTGGAGTGGGAGCCGGACTTTGAACCGTACGTGGTGGTGAGACGAGACTGTCCGGAGTACGACCAGCGGTTTGTGGGCTTCGGCTGGAACAAGGTGTCGCACATCATGGAGCTGGATGCACAGGTGATGATGATGATGATGTAGAAATTCAAAAGTCCATCCATGGAAACGATTCTTTATTTTTATTTGAGGTGGGAAGGAAAGTATATTCTGGATATGTGTTAGAAGCCAATAAGAAAATTCAACAGTGAAGTAAATTTAGTTTTCTCCACCGAACAATACAAACCTACAGCAACGTTTCCTTATCAAGGCTAAACTGTTACTGAGATGAGAGAAGAACTTCCATTTTCATCATTTTCATCTAATTTCTCTGTTTCCCCTCAGGAGTACGACCTGATGGTCCTTCCCAACGCCTTCATGATCCACATGCCTCACGCTCCGAGCTTCGACATCTCCAAGTTCCGCTCCAGCTCCAGTTACCGCAACTGTCTGAACACTCTGAAGGACGAGTTCCACCAGGACCTGTCCAGGAAGTACGGCTCGGCCGCTCTCAAGTATCTCACCGCCCAGAGGAACATCTGAGAGCCGTCGAGTTCCGAGTGCGTCAGCCCCTGAGCTCTGGGAGCTCGGGTACGTACTGACACGGCGCCGCACGGCCGGCCATAGTGACGCCATGGTGCGACTATGACGGAAAAGCTTTATAGCCCCTTTGGAAATATGGCGGGCTCCTGTGCATTAACCTCCAGTCGACAGGACGCAGAGACAAAGACTTGTCCAGGACGGAGTGACGGCGGACTTCCTGAATGCGGGACTGAGCGGGCTGAGGGGACGATCACAGAGCGTTCACACAGATCTGACAAGTTTTATAGCGGGAAATTGACCATATTCTTACACTTTGTTCTGACAATCAGGGCTTTTTCCAGAAGACAAGTCCGTCCACGTGCAAAACATCTGGACACTCGACTCAAAGACACTGAGACAGAGCCGAGTGGTTTCCAGAGAAGACGACGGTGTGAGGAGTCGAACTGGAGAAAGATTTAAGCCTTATCACTTTACATATTTCATGCTTTTCATTTTTTTCTAGTGTAAATCAAAACCAATGAATAATGAACAACAATGTTTTGGGAATAATTTTTCACTAAAAATCATTTGTTTTTATTTTGATCTATTTTATGACCTAAATATCCATCACGTGTGTGCGTGGTCTTTAACATGCTTCCTGCTTATTG